GCTCTGCCAGTCAAGGGACAACTCTCAATACTGGCAGGCACAGTGCCACTTAGCGAGAGACGTGGGCGTAGATCTCCGGATCTGTCAGGTACGGTTGTCAGGCAGGAGATCTTCCTGTGATACGCCGAGCTGCCCCTAAGTGTCGAGCTACCTATGCCGAGTTGCCTGTAAGTGCCGAGCTGACCTTAAGTGGCGAGCTCTTCGTAAGACGCTAGGCTGCCTGCGGAGTGGCCAACTTCCTGTGGCGAGCTACCTATGCCGAGCTGCCCGAGGCTGCACTTTGTTTGCATGAGGTGCCAGGTGTCACAATTTCACTAGAGGGCCAAATCCGCCCTCATCAGTGACCATGAACCCAAAGGTACCGACCCAAAGGAATACTGAATACAAGGTTATTGGGAAGACGATAACAAGCTACCAAGGACAGTAGCTTGTCCGAGGTCATAGTGGAAGGACTGAAGTCATCTGAATCCCAACCTCGAGAAGAAGATGAGACCCTCTCTCTGGGGGTCGGTTCCTCCTCCTGAGCTATAGTCTCCTCAGGCCGAGATGGCCCGACTTTGGGTAAAGGAATTTCTCCTAAGGGGCGAGGGGGGGGGGACTGCCTGGCGAGGAGCTGACCTCGCTAGCGGGAGCCGAGGACTGCACCTCGACACCCTCAAGCTCACTAGAGTCACTAAGAAGCTTATCTATACTAGCACTAGACATACTGAAACTGGAATAGGAAAGGAGAACAAACTAACGAAGAAAAGATGAATTCACCAAAAAAGATGAAAACGACCTCGGAACACAAAGGAAGAAGTGGCAAGCTGAAGGACTCCGACGCGATCTCGGGAGAGCTCAATCACAAGATTTTTTGACGAAGAAGAGGGGCCCCTTAACCCCCTATTTATAGTTTACCACATGGCGATCAATGGTTGAGATCTGCTCTATCCAACGGCTCTCATGAAAATCGGTTACACGACACCTGAGGACGAAATTGGTTGAGCGTGCTCTTTGACGTCCGTGGAGTCTATAAACGGCGTGACGTCCGCGCGTACCCAGGACGCGATTTGGGTCATTTCGGGTTGAGCTAGACGGTTGAACAGGCCCGACCAACGGTTCGCTCTTCAGATTATCCAGACCCCGCGCCAAATCCATTTAGATCCTCCATGAACTCCTGGCACCGGGTTGGGACCCCTGGCACGAGGAGTAGGGGGCAATTGATGAAGGGTTATTTGGCGCGACCTAGCGAGAAGGGGACACGTGGACACGACCTGACTAAGAGATGATAGCTCAGCCTGGCAAGCCTAGTTCGCAACGTAGAGTCACCTTGGCGTAGAGTCACCTCGGTGTAGAGTCACCTCGGCGTAGTCACCTCGGCGTCAGGGCACCTCGGCATTCAACCCAGTTCGGAACTAAAGAACCGAAGTATCAACTCGGGACTAACAACCCGAACCGCCACGTAACGACTTCGGAAGTTTCTCCAACGGACTCTGAACCTCACAGGATCACGCCATGTAACAGCAAGCCTTATCCTCTCCTCGCCCGGATCGGGCGGAATCGATAAACTTTATTAACTGATACATTACTCCCCGATTAAAGCGAAAACGGATCCCCTCTGGATGAAGATCGCAGAACCGATCCATGAAACTCGCGGGAGCTCAACTATATAAGAGCAATAACCCCTCCAGGGCCCAGGTACGCGTGATCACTCTACTCTCTAGCTCTCAAGCTCTCAAGTTTTCAAAGTATTCAGCTCGCAAATACTAACTTAAGCATCGGAGCGACCTCGCCGGGTTAGCCACCCCGGGTTCTCTGATCCATTGTCTTACAGATTCATCTAGCTCGCTACTCGATTGGAAGCTAGATCACCCTCCAGCTGAGAGTAGTCAGATCGCGCTACATCATCTCCCAAAAATAACATAATCATTTCTGATACTGTCATTGGGAGATATTCTCAATACACAACAGGGATGTGCTGTGGGACGTTGTGGGGCACTGTCTTGTGGGGGCTGATTTGATTGTGCTCACAATGAAGGTATTTTTGTTCATGTGAAGATGTTCCAATGTAGACTGATAAGTGTTGTGAGATGGTATGAGTACCAATTTTGTGAGCATAAAATTTAGATTTGTATTCTGTATTTCCATGTCAACGGTGAAAGGACAAAGAATAGCATTTTTACCATCTGGGCTCCATCTCACCAGCTTTGTTTTCATTTACGGTATGGAGTGTTGCAAAAAGCTTGGATTAAATGAAAGCCTTTTAAATGGAACTATAAAGTATACGTCCACCAATGTAATAACATGGAATTAATACCGTCTTCTAGTTGTAGTGCAATTTTATTTGTATCAAGATAAATGCATGAGAGTGCAAATGAAAAGAATGCAAAATTTTGTTTAATTTTATTTTGAATTTTATGTTTTTTTTTTAGTATTTGATTGTACATTTGAATCCTTTATTGGAGCGGTAATTCTTTTTTCCTCTTTTTGGGAATAGCTTTTCCAAAGTCGGCGGTAACTAATAGGATTTTTTTTTTCTCGATAAAAAAGGAACTACTATAAATATCATGGGTACAATTGGGTCTCCCTTTTACAGCAATCTAAAAAATATGCGGGTAAATACATAGGGGGATTGGTTCTATTAATATAAGTGCTTTTAAGCCTAGCTCATTTTGCAAGTTCATAAGTTGGCTTAACTAACTCTCTGTTTACATTAAAAAACTTTACATTTTCAAAAAGTAATAATAATTCAAATATATGATCATACAACGCTTGAAGATCCCAGGTGATGTTTTTATCAGTTCCTCCTATTTTCAAAAGAATTTCTTTTGCATCTGATAGCGAAAAACCTGCTTTGAAGCCCATACAAAAAAGTTTACGTAAACCTCTTATTATTGCCCAGAGCTCAGCTGCTGCTAATGATTTTTCCATACACGGTTTTCCTTCTGCAATGAGAAAAGGAGATCTATGTGAGAACATAAAGAGTCTAGTTGATGCAGTGTGTGTGGTAGTGTTCCATGATCCATCCACTAAGATGATCGGAAGAGCTGTATGAAGAACCTGTTGTAGATTCCATTCTGAATGCAGTTGAGTAAAATGTGATTTTTGTAGCTTTGTCACTCTAGAGGTGCAGTAGTTACCAGCCTTGTGCAGGATCTGGTTTCCCGTTATTAAAATTGTGATAATTTCTCACATCTCATATGCTTCTGAAAATTGTACAGACTTTTGCAAAATAAGTGTACTTTAAGGCTTTGTTCTTGATATGACTATTATATTGCCACCACCATTCTATCAGATATTCTTGGCTAGAGTTTAGAAAAGCCTCCGGCATAAGCCTAATTTGGGCTTGCATCCAGACAGCCCTTGAAAGAGGGCATTCCAAGAAGAGGTGTTTTTGGGTCTTTGGATATGATTTGCAAAAGGTGCACCAAGTGTCTTCTCTTTTTCTGTAGATCTAGACTACTGTCTTTGTTCGAACTGCTTTATGAAGGTATTTCCACATAAAAATCTGACACCTATAGGAACATGGAGTCATCCAAATTGATTGTTTTGGGTTTGAATCCACACATCTACCAAGACAAACCATCTAACATACCAACTGAGCCACCCCTTTATTGGTTGTTTTGGGTTTTAAGAGTTCTTTTACAAATTTGAGAAAATAGGGTTAAGATCGAAAGCAAAAGTAAATTGGAATTTGGATATGAAATGGCTTTTGTTCTTGTTTGGTGACTTGTGTGATGTATATATTTCTCATGATCCATATTGTTAGCCATAAAATATGTTTGGCCCTCAACCGTTCAATCTCTCACTTGCATTTGGGGTTGGTGTGGAATAAAACGACTGGTCCCATGGTATGTCAAGCAGCGACCAAATTCAGCTAATCCGAAATCTCTCTGGGCAGAATAGGGATTGCTGAGATCACATCAGTGCCCTATAAGCACAATCCAAAGTGCCTCACGTGCATATCTCAATATGCATTGGGAACATTTTCTTTTCCATACTTAGAGCCCATTTGGCAAGTCTTTACGAGAAGATCTTCTTGTAGTTCTGACAGTCAAAAAATGCATTGAGCTTTTGACATAAGATCTGAGCAGCCCGAAGACCGTTCGACAGACGCACGTCTTTCTGTGCGTTGTTTCAGGTCTCTCCGTGCGAGATTAAAACCCGAAAGACGCGGGAAACGTCATTTGGAGCTTCCTGAAATCAGTCCAAAATGGGCTTTGCGCGTCTTCTTGGCGTCCCGTCTTTTAGCGGCTAGATCTTCCGCATGCCTAACAGAAATAGACCAATTTTTGGTCTTCCCAACTTATAAACAACCGAAAGACCGTACAGAAAAACATGCCAAATGAACCCTTAATTATCACAGGAACATATTCTCAATACACACGGGATGTGCTGTGAATTCGTTTTCTGTCACTTATCTGGTTTTTCGTTTTTGTAATGCTTGGGTTTATTAATTACTTTAGATCTTGGGTACCCACTTTCCCAACTGTGCAATAATTAAACTATCACCGTTGAGTTTATTAATTTCCGTAGAAAGCTGGTGGAACATGATATCCTGGGTGGAAAGTGAAAATCCAAAAGAAATCCGTTTGGTTCTTCACAGTGGGAATTAGAATTCGAATGAAAAGATTAATTTCTATAGTCTGTTTGGTTCATAAAAGAACTGGAACTGAAATGAGCTGGAATGGGAGTTTATTTCCAAGGGAGGGGAAGGAAATAATTCTATCACATGGGAAAAGCTATTTCAAAAGGAATGATAATGAAATTCTGATTTTGCTCAACCAAACAGTTAAATTAAAATGATTTATTCCAATTCCAATTTCTGATCCCTGTTTCCGAGCCAAACATGACTAATATAACATCTCTGTCTACCCATTGGATATACCGAATAGCTACCGGTAACAACTTCTTTGCACATTTTAATATCTCAACTACTGAAACCTACATTCTCTTACTGGTTCTAATAAATGAAAAGTTATGTCTACATAACAAGCAGCAGGACACAATTATATAGTCGGAAAATGTCAGTTCTCTTCTACCTCATTTTACGCTCAGAAGAACCCAGCCGAGCAGCAAGCAAAAATGCAGCTTTCTGCCATTGAATTGGGTTCTGTCACTTCTACTACTTGTCTAGCCCTTCTTTTCTCTGTGTTTACTTCTCTTCAATGGCAGATCATCCAAGGCGACGTCGTCTCACCTAATGTAACGTTCCCGGCGGTGTTCGTGTTCGGAGATTCGATTGTAGATACAGGGAACAATAACTACCTCGTCTCTGTGGCCAAGTCTAACTTCCCTCCATATGGGAGAGACTTCCCAGAAAGGAAAGCTACAGGAAGGTTTTGCAACGGGAGGGTACCATCAGATTTCTTAGGTACTATCACTAGCTACCAGTTATTCACTTTTAATTGACAGAAACTTCTCTCAGCAGCCTGTAATGGAGTTCAGATCTGCGCCCCACAATTAGACCTGTTCATGGCTGGGTAACCCGACGGCTTGACTCGCACCCCGGTCGGGCTTGGATATGTAATTAGGTCCACGGGCACAAAACACCAAGCCCCATTGTGTGTTAGGCCAGGCTCAGGATTTGTCAAAAAAGCCCAGCCCAAACCCAACCCGACTCATTTATAATAATATAAAATATATAATATCTATTATATATACTTCGTGCTTGCGCAGGTGACTGCCTAGTACTCTTTGAACCAACTTTTTTACTTTCCCGTGCTTCGTCTCAAATTTAACCAACTTTTTTACTTTCCCGTGCTTACTTTTTATGAGTGGTTAGGTATCCTTATTGAAAAGGTGACTGCCTAGTACTCTTAATTTAGGTGCTATTTGCCAAGTCTTTAGGAAGATCATACGATGAGTTTTCGGGGTATTGTCTTTAAAATTCTAGACCTTTTGGTAAATATCTTAAATGGAAGATCATAGGTGCAGAGAGACAGATTTTTGGTTATTTTGGGCTTTCATGAGATTTTTAGGACATTGGGTTTGTTTTGGCTTCCTGCCTTTTATTGCGAAACAGAGAAAGACCAAATTTTGGTCAGAAAAACCCTAAACAACACACAAAAAGACTTGCCAAACCCTTCTTTAATGATTGACAAGGTGTATAAATTTATTAAGAGACTGATGCATTTTCTTGTGAAATTTACAGCTGAGAACCTAGGAGTTAAGAATCTGTTGCCTCCTTATCTTGACCCAAATTTACAAATAGAAGACCTCCTTACTGGTGTAAACTTTGCGTCAGCTGGAGGAGCATTTGATATTGTGACTCCTGCAGTATTGGTATAGTCTCATCCTCTTTCTTTTTCTTTATTAAGAGTTTCTAACCTCTTCTCTTTTCTTTTTAATTTCAAACTGAAGATATTCTTCATATTTTTCTTCTTCTGTAAAATACTGTGACTGTCATAGTCGGCCATACCACTGTCGGATCAACTGAAAATGTTCAAAGAGTACATAGAGAAAGTGGAGGCAGCTGTGGGAGAGGAGAAGACGGCAGCTCTCATATCCGAGAGCATGTACATGCTTTGTGCAGGCAGTAACGACCTTGCAGGTTATTTCATTACAACGGCCAGACAGTTCACTTACGATATCACTGAATACACAACTCTCATGGTACAATTAGCTTCAACTTTCATTCAGGTAAATTCTCTGCTTCACTTTTGTTTCAGATCCGACATTGCAAGAGAGTGGAGGGTTATTTTTATTTCTTTGGGAGTGAGATAGTAGGGCTGTAAATGAATAGGATTCAATAAAATCTGAATCTGATCTGATCATTGAAAACTTGCATCTGAATTGGATCACATTTGAAGGCCTTGGACTCAAATTCAAAATCTAATAGACTTGTATCATATTTGGATTCAATTTTAATTTTTAAAATACAAAAAATAATTAATTTTCAACTTTATGTATAATAGATTAATGGAAATATAACATACTTAATTTATTATATATAAATTTATATATAATATAATATAAAAAGGGTAAATTGCTAAAGCTTCCCCCCTGACCGTTGTTGAAACCTCCCCTGAAGTTTGGGAATTGCAATCAACTCCCTTGAACTTTATGACATAGTTGCAAGTATACCCCCTTGATTAAAATCCTCTAACAAGAGGCATGAAAATGTTCAAAATACCCATGCAATTACTATTGGACCTGGTTTTTATAGAAAAACAATACAAACTCTATGAACAATGAACAACAACAAAAATGGAGAGTTTAAAGTTGCAGCGTTACATTTGAGCGATTGATATGAAAGGCAAATTTAGAAAATAAATCAATTTCAAAAAAGCGATTGGAAAGGATTTGGGGTAGCGATTGATATGAAAAGAAAATTTGGAAAACCCCCCATCTTGTGTAGCCCCTCAACTTTTCCTATCGGAAAAAAAAAGAAAATTTGGAAAATAAACGTTTTGGTCAAAAGTAGCATGGGTATTTTGAACATTTTCATGCCTCTTCTCTTGTTAGAAGATTCTAATGGAGGGGGTTTACTTGCAATTGTCTTAGAAAGTTCAGGGGAGGTGATTGCAATTATCAATTTTTTAGGAGATTTTAGCAATGGTCAGACACTTTAGGGGAGGTTTTAGAAACTGACCGAATAAAAAAAAAAAAATATATATATATATATATATTTTATAATTTTAAACATAATTATCTATGTTTTTTATAATCTAAACCTGATCAGATTATTAATCAGATGTAGATTTCAAAATTTGATCTGATTATATAAACACATCATCCAAAGGCAGGATAATCAGGTCGAATGTTGGATTAGGCTGCATTTGAATATCATTGACAGGCCTATGTGGTAGGAAGCAAGATGATGTACTCCCCACTTTATATGACAGAGAATTGAGGTTGGAGGAAGGTTGTGCAAAATTTACACCAGTTTTGGAGATAGAAAAAATTATATTGATAGTGAGTGGGTGCAAATGGGACAAAAAGTGCAGGTTTTGTATAAGAATGCAAATCATAGTTACAAATTAACAGATATGTACTGCAACATGGTTCAAAGTATCCAAACACCTTTGTGTATCGGCAAGATACGATATGCTCAATACAGAATATATCATATCGATACTTTGAACCTTGACAGCAACCAAACACAGCCTAAACAAAAATACTTCCTTACTATATGGCCTTTTTTTTTTGGTAACGAGATTTCCTACTCACTTTTCCTACCCACTCTCCCACTCTCTACCCGCCGTGAATTGCAGCCACACATCTCTCAATTCATAATAGAGATGTGTGACTACAATTCACGACGGATAAAGAATGGGTAGAAAATCTGGATTCTTTTTTTAATTTGGGGTAAAAAGATGAAAAAAAAAAGTTTGCAAATAATTTACATTAACAAATGCTTTCCATATGCCAATAATTTAATTAGTCCCTGCATCAATTAAACTGTACAAATAATCTCTTGAGTTATAATTTGAGAGTGAATTAATTAATTTTGTTTAAAGCTAATTAATCATATCCTTTTTTTTTTTCAAAAACAATAAAACTTGGCAGGAACTGCACGCTCTTGGGGTAAGAAATATTGGGATAGTGAACACTCCACCGGTAGGGTGTGTGCCTTTCCAGAGAACCATTGGCGGGGGAGTAGACAGAGGGTGTTCAGAGAAATTGAACGTAGGAGCAAAGCTCTTCAACGCCAAGCTATCTTCCGAGCTTGAGTCACTTCAGAATAAACTCCCAACCGCCACGCTTGTTCTTCTTGAAGTTTATCATCCCTTACTGGATATTATCCAAAGGCCTCATGTCTACGGTAATTATATTTTCTTCAACTTTACCCTTGTCATCCTGTGTAAATTGGGTCACCAGCAGCTGACTCACCTATCTTCTGATGTGGCTAAATTATCACCACGTGGCTGATCAGAACACAATAGAGTGCGCCTCACACCCACCTTCACAGCATGTTGCAGCGTGCATTAAAAATATCTCCCCACAAATGATAACATACAAGTGTGCAGTGCTGTGAGGTTGGGGTGAGATACGCTCTGTGGAAAGCCAATCCAAATTCATTTGTTGCTTGAGATTTTATAAGTTAAAGTTTACTGAAAATGGGGCCAAACTTTACAAGTGGCCTAGCTAATAGCGGTTTTAATTTGCCACATGGCCATGAATAAGGACAATATGCATGTAGATCAGGGACATTCTGATATATTTGTGTGTTTGTCCCCCACCAAGCACCAGCCATGCATGCACTTGAGTAGGGGTGTCGATATGGCTGGATTTGGTCCAATTTGATCCAGTCCAATGTGAGTCCATTATAAATAGACCTTGTTCAATCCAATCCAATGAATACTTTGGGCCATTTTGGATTGGTCCAATTTAATGTCTGGACTGTTCAATCTGTCCAAAATTATTTTAATTTAGATTAATTTTAACTCAATTATGGTTCATTGACACCTATATTCTCACTTTCTATTAATGGACCAGCCATTGGCTGAATTCAACCCAATCCAATATATAATTCATTACAAACGGACCAGGTCCAATCCAATTCAATATATTTTATTGATCCGACCAATTCATCCAAATTGATTTTGGTTTGGGCAAGGTCCAATCCAATCATGATGGATATTAATTGGGCCAACCCCCTCAAACCCAACAAGTTAATTTGGTGGCCAGTAGTAATTGAAATCAAAATGCATACTTGTCTATTATTTACATCAATATTCAATATTCAGTGAAAGAATGCTGTATGCCAATGTCAGGATTTGAGGAGGTTATGAGAGGATGCTGTGGTACGGGGAACGTAGAACTATCGATACTATGCAATGACTTAACTCCTTTTACATGTTCAGACGTCTCCAATTACGTGTTTTGGGATAGTTATCATCCCACAGAGAAAGCCTACAAAATCCTAATGGATGCAGTTACACAGGATATCATAAAAAAGTTCTCTTAAGGTAATTAAGTTAAATTCCTCTGTTATCTATGATTTTTCTCCCCTTATAAAACCATTTCAAGGTGTCGCAATTTCACTCCACAGTTTGTATCAGCTCTCTGTATAGCCATAGGTAGTAATAGTTATCACACCATCTTTCTATTATCGTGTATATAGGTAGATTTTTGGTCAATTAGATGTTTTCTATCGCATAAGTTGGGGGCCTATCTTTATAAAAAAAAAGAGATTCAGCCCAGGCCCCATCTGTTTAAGTATTGGGCCTTAAATTTTGTCACCAGAGACTTCAATGCAACAATGTACAATCTTGCCAGCCGAAGATGTTCACCGACCACTGTAATTGCAAGTAGAAAGAATAGGTCAAGATCAGCGTACCCTTGAAATTCATAAATTTTTGACCAATGGGTGATCAACATCGTAGGAGTTGCCAAGTAGCCGATTTAGGCTGTGTTTGGTTTGATACAAAAATAGGAAAAACGGAAAGTAGTGTGAAAGTTAAAGGTCCGTTTGGTGCATCTTTTCGTGCAGTCTTTTGTTTGTTTACAAGCTGGGCAGACCAACTTTTGGTCTATTTCCATTTGATTTGTAGAAGATCTAGCCGCCAAAAGTCAGAGCATCAAAAAGAGTGAGAAACCCATTTTGGGTTGATTTTGGAAAGTTTCAAATGAAGCTTTTTGCGTTTTTCGTGTTTTATTCTCATGTGGAAAGATATGGAAAGATGCACAAAAAGACGTGCATCTGCCAAACTAGATTCGGTCTTCTCAGATCTTCATGCAAAAACTCAATGCATCTTTTGATCGTCAGAGCTACTAGAAGATCTACCCAAAAAGACATGCCAAATATGGCATTCTGAGTTTCTCAGCTCATGGAGTGCCCTATGCTTCTGCGTGAAATCCCTCCCAAATGGGGACTTAATGTGTTTGGAAGGACTGAAAATTAGAGCCCATTTAGTCTATATGTTGGTTGAGTTGCATTGATCGAACTGCTTTCGAGAAGCTACGCAAAATAGATTCACCAGAAAGATCTTGTGGCTTCTGTAAATGTAATTCTGGCTTTCTGGATTTTTAACAAATATGGCTTCACGGCGTTCTGAGTTTCTCAGCTCATGGAGTGCCCTATGCTTCTGCGTGAAATCCCTCCCAAATGGGGACTTAATGTGTTTGGAAGGACTGAAGTACGTCAGTTTCTGGCTTTTTGAGGTAGATCCTCCATGGACAGGTTTTTAAATTACATCTGGTTAAAAATTCCAAAGAGCCTAAGTCTGCTGTCATTCAGTGCCCCCTTTGGCAGAATGGCAAGGCTAAGCTGTGTTAGAGAATATCAATTTATTCGAGGACTTTACCTAACAGCTTAAGCTTTTAAGTTGAATAGTTCTTTGAGATGGTATCAGAGCCACTTTGACCAAATGGTTTAGTGTTTGATTCTCATTACCCCCATTATAATTAATTAAGTTTCATCGATCACAAGGTATGTATGGGCTTATGCTTGTTCACACTTCAAACCCAATGGGCTTTCGTGTCAGGGAACATCTTAAAGAATATCAACCTATTCAAGGATCTCACCTAACATGTTAAGCTTTTAAGTTGAATGGTTCTTTGAGAAGTTGAACATTCAGATGAACCGGTATGACTACATTGAGACACTTTAGACAAATTAACTAAAAATAGTGAAGTGGATGACATAAAATATGACCGACTGATGGCCAATTTGGGCTCTTCACTGCACTTCAGCCCTCTCAAATGGGACCTTATTTTTTAGATTATCCACTTTAATATGGTGCATTCTCTTCAGGTCCCAGTTTTACCAGTTAATCGGGTAGTTCGCTCATCCAACCTGCCAAAACCGTCATTTGAATGGGACCCGCCACTGGTTCCCAATTTTCATAGTTCGACTATTCGATCCAGTCTGAGCCTTAAAACTTTGCTGTTTTATTTTTATTTTTATTTTTTAATTTCTTTTGAAGGGCTATACAACGGGGTAACCCATCCCCCAATCCATAACCTCAACCAAGGTGCAGGTAGGATTCGATCCTAATTATATATATACTTGAAAAGTAATATTTAAGGTAAATAACATTTTTGCTGACAAAAATAGTGAAACACATAAATCTGGAAAAAATGACCAAAAAGTAAAAAAAATATCACCTCAATCAAACATTCAATTGCAAAATTATGGCCTTCGAAAATTTGCATTTATATTTTAAAAAATAAAAAAAGCTGGTAAAACCAAGACTTATTCACTGGTTAGATTGTCCAAGTTAATGGTTTTGACTGATGTTTATGACTTCCGGTAAACTGGAAAAGGGCCCAAATATAGTTCAACTGGCCAAGATTTGGATGCCCAAATGTTTGTAGCGAAGACTCGGATCAAATCTTGCTGCCACCAGGGCTGAGGGGTTAACGGTATGAGGATGCAAGGTTTTTAAAACCAGACCAGATAAGGAACCGTTCTGAGGACTGGTTTTTGGGCCAGACAGTCTGGTCATCCGGTCTGAATAGATGGCCCATTCTAACAAAAAAATAAAGAAAAAGACCAAAAGCCATTATCCAAGTTAACAGTTTGACCACCTGAGTCATTGATTTATTAACTAAATCAATGGTTTTTTTGACCAAAAAACAGTTTTGAGGTGAAACGAAACTGATTCCTAATTTTTCCGATCCGATCCAGTTTTAAAAACACTGTGAGAATGAATTACCCCCGACCCATTGTGTAGCCCCAAGAAGGCAAGAAAATGAGTACCCAAAATATGATTTGGATTTTTGATTGTCAATAACCATATCTGATTCGATGTCGTTGGATATGGATCCAAATCGAACCTGATTACAGTCCAAGTATCTTTTGTTTTAAATAGTATTTTCCGGTCACATTGGGGGTAGTCCCATCCCTATATCCTTAAACCCAAAGCCTAATTGTGAGTCCATAAATTTGATATATATTTTATAACAAAGTAAAATCCTTGATTTTGCTTCATCTCTACACCCATCCCCACCTCTACGTCTATCCGGACTCTGGAGACATCAGACTGCCACCTCTATAGTTACTGCCACCACCTCCACTTTTAGTACCAACATTTTTTAGTGCAAACAGTGGTAGGAGTTAGACCTGTTTAGGGCTGGGCTGGGCTTTGTATCTATATGAACAGAATATAATCAGGCCCAAGCCTGGCCTGGCCCAACCGTCAGGCTTAGGTCTTCAGTTCGAGTCTAATCCTCATATAAAGCCTAAAGCTTGGTCAAAAAATTGGAAAGAAGTATTTTTCTTTTTTATTCAATAAATGAATTAATTTATTTATATTAAAAGATCTTAAAATCCAAAATAATAAAAAATCTCACTATGGCTTGAAAAACTAATATATAACAAGGAAGTCTATCTTTTTTTCTTTTCATTTTTGATTTTTAATTCATATTTTTTTAAACAACCAATTAGAGACTCTCCTTTTCCCTTATCTTATTCCTAAAACCTCTCTCTCTCTCTCTCTCTATCTATATATATATATATATATATATATATATATATATATATCCAATCAACTAAATCATTTCCTCTCCTAAAAGTTCTCCTAAACTGTCTCCCCCACTTAAAACTTCCTCCTAAAACATTTCCTCACCTATATCACAATAGAGCTCAGATCTACCGACCATGACACATTGCTGGCCACGCGCATCTTGCTGTACATTGAGAACATTGGTTATACTTTATATCACCGACATTCTCAATGTACAGCTGGATGTGCGTGACCAGCAATGTGTTGTAGTTAGCAGATCCAGACATCTCACAATAAATAATCTAATTCTAACTCCTCTTTCCCAACCCCCTATCTCTCTTTCTTTAACTAAAATACTAATAAGATGAGTAAAAGATATCTGAAAGACTAATAAGAATAAAATAAATAATACAATAAGACAAATAATAAAAGAAGAAAAATTTAATAATTAAAAATTGTTATAATTATACATAATTTTTTTATATCATCATTAAAAATTTAACAATTAATTATAATAATTTTATATTATATCGTAATAATTTAAAAATGATTAACATAATAGAAAATTAAAAACAAATTACTATTTTTTTTTAATTTTAACAATAATAATTGTTAAAATTAATTACAATAATATTATACATAATTTATAATAACAAGTTCTACAAGATTACAAATTTTAAACAATAATAAATTTAACATAAATATCATAACTTAAATTATGCATCAATAAAAGTTTACTAGATAAATTAAAATTTAATAAAAGTAAAAAATATTAATTTAAAATCTATTTAAATTTAATTTTAAAATAATGAAAAATAAACACAAGAAGCCGGGTTCAATTCGGGTTTATCTTCACCCTATCTAGGTCCATCATTTTTCCACATCATCTAGCTCTTAGCCTTTGGTCATGCCACCTTGCCTCCCATTTCAATGTCATAACAAAGTTGGAAATTTCCCAAACATTAAACATATAAGATAATGAAAATATTATTTTGTTTTAATATTTTAGTAATTAATTATTCATAAAATACATAATTTTTTTGAAAATTAATTTGTTTATATCAATAATTATTGAATAATCAAATTTTAATATTTAAATATTAATTTATTATTATATGAAATTAATTATATATTAGTATTATCTGAAATCGATAATAATTACATGAAAATTTCAGTATTTTAAAGATAATTATTTAATTTTTAAATTTCAAAAAATTAATTTTCAGCAATTTTAGGTAATTTCAGAAAACTATTGATTTTGAAATTTAATTTTAGTAATGAAAATTATTTATTGATATTTTCATTTAAATTGTTTTGGGAAGTTTTTAAATATTAAATTGGAAAATTATTGGGAAATTTTAACTATATTTATAATTTCCATAACTATTTAGAAAATTTAATATATTTTGAAAACTATTAAATTGGAAACTTTTGATAATTTCTATAATTAATTACTAGTAATTTGCATTAGTTTTTGGCAATTATTAAATTGAAAAATTATTAAGGGAATTTAATATTGATAATTTATATTTGGTAATTATTAATAATTTATATAATTATCGGTAATTAACATTGGCTTTTGGTATTTATTGAGAATTTTTAATTAAGTGTTCCATAAACTAATTTTCATGTTTTTGGTAATTTAATTTAGTAAAAGTTAATTAAAAAAATCTAAATTACTATAATTTTTACATTTTCAGTAATTAATTATTCACAATTTGTTTTGAAGATTAATTTATTCATATCAATAAATGTTGAAAATTTAGTTCATTTCAATTCAGAAATTTATTCATAAAATTTTGAAAGTAACTTATTTATATCAATATTTGTAGTAAGGATTTTTTAAGATATTCAAAATTTTCTTTCTATTTTTTTTTGTTGTGCAAACAACAATAAATTATAAATAGATATTTTTTATTAATTTAGTTTTAAACATCCCATGCCATAGTGTCAATTGGTTGGTTGGTAAGGTCTCATGTTGGTTGTAGTATTAAGATCAAATTCAACTTGCACTAGGGTTGGGAGGCTTAATGGGTTTGGGGATGATCCCCCCAGTTATGTAGCCCCTTGGAGAAATGACTTTTAAGCCTTCCCTATATTTTAACCTCTACCACAAAAGAAAAATCTCTAATATCTTTCAAATTATTAATTAATAAAATTAATCAACTTTCTGATTTTTTCCATGCATGGCATAGAGCCCTGCTAGTGATACTTATAAAATCTGTATTCTATCAAATTATGGGCTTGGCCTTAATATAACCAGTGTCAGTGTGAATCACATCTTTTATTGTGCTTTGGCCTCAGGTCGATAGGATTTCCTCCTCTCTCTCTCTCTATAAATTTCCTCACTTTAAGAATATGAGAAAATTTTCTTCATATTAATTACTTATATCATAGTTAAGATAGAAATTCAAAATTAATAAAAGTAGCAATATGATTAAAAGTAAACTTAAATGCTTGTAGTAAATGTATACATTGCACGTGAAAATTTTTAATTACAATACCAATTATTATAACTATTATTATTATTAATTTTTTTTTTCATTGCTATCATAAATAAAAATAATTTTTATTCTAACAAACATTTTTATTTAATATGATGGATATATAACATTAGAAATGTTCCAAAATGTTTTATTTCAATTATGATATCATGAGTTTCTTTGAAAAGTTGGATCTTTGACCCACCATCTATATAAGAAAATAGATTAATTTTCTTTAGGATTAGTTTTAAATTATATATTTCATCTACATTATATAAATATTTTTTACTTATTACACTTAGTTTTCGTTTGACATAATTAATTATTTTTTTGTATCATATATTTTATTTCTTTTAATTTTTTATTATTTAATTATGACATTATTTATTAATCAATTTGACCCTAAATGGTTAAATTGTTTACCCACCACTAGGAGGAAAGAAAATGGTTTTATTTTCAAACTACTTTTCAAAATATTTATGTTTATACTATTAAAATTAATGTTGTGGATTTAATTAATAGAATTTATTGATGAGAAAAGTATATTTTAATTATAGGATTTAATGAGTGAATATATCTTAGATATGAGATTTAATCAAAGAATAGAAAAATAGTTTTATTTTCAATTGGTCTTAAATTTTACATTTCATTTTCATCATTAATAAAAACGTTTCTTATTTATCATATTTATTATTGTTTAATATGTCAAATATATGATGTTAAAAATGTTCACTTTTTTAATTTCTATATTTTTTTGCATTTTATATATATTTTTTTAAATTTTATTATTTATTTGTGGCAACATGGATGAGCCCATTTGACCCAAAATAGTTTAATTTCTTATCACTGCATAGATGAAAACACTATTTTTTCTAGGTAGATTTTAAAAGTATAAGTTTTTATGTTATTGAAATTATTAATTTATTATGTATGGATTTAATTAGTAGAATTTAATGATGAGAAGAATTAAAAATGCCTTAAATATATGATTCAATAAAGATGAATGCAAGCAAGTTAATACCTTAAATGTTGTGATTTAATGAGAGAGAATTGAATGCATTGATTATCTTAAAATTACCTATTTTCAACTCATTTAATATCAATAACCAATTATCCTATTTGTCAGTTTTTATCGATCAATTTAAATATAAAGGAGAAAATTTTATCCTTAGAAAATTCCAAAAATATTCTTGAGACTATTAGTGCTTTTTAAAGTAGTATAGATTTGTCATTGTTTTATCACGGAAAGGATTCAAAGGAAAGGGCTCGCACTAAATTTTGAAAACGCAAACTTGCTTCCTCAATCTTTGGCCAATCAATCACACCAATCCTCCTCGTTACATAAATGTTATATAACAAACTACTTTAAAAAGAAAAATCTCATAAGATCTGGATGCATGGACGGTTTTCTTCTGGCTCAGTTTGAAAAGCGTACAAATGAAAATATTTACAGTGTAAATATATATAAAATAATACAAAATATAAAGTTTTGCACTTTACATTCGTACTCCTTCCAAACTCAGCCTCTCCAAATACCCATCTGTGATCACAGATGTCAACAATTGTTGTTTAACACACATAACAAAAAGAAAATATCTATCTAGCTACTATCCAACTCAACTACTACCAGACGTACTAACTTCCTTACAAATCGTCATAACCAAATCGGCATTAAAACCTACAAACAAGGTAATCTGATAATCTGTCCTTTAATAAGCCATTTTCCAATTACTAAAAGCTGTGTTTCTCTTCTGCAACATCGATCTATATATAACGAATACTCGTACAAAGATAAATCTATTACCAATTTTCCAGAAAATCATGGCACAGCTCGTCTCCTCAGAACGTGCTTATGTTTCGTCTGCTGCACTAGTCACTCTTTTGTCTATCGTTACTTCTCTTCATCTCCAGATGGTCCAAGCTGGTCTCGTCCCACCTGATAAGAATGAGACAATCCCGGCTCTGCTAGTGTTTGGAGATTCGATTATGGATACAGGCAACAACAACTACATAGTCTCGTTGGCCAAGTGCAATTTCCCTCCTTACGGGAGGGACTTCGTAGGAGGGATACCCACTGGAAGGTTTAGGAATGGAAAGGTTCCCTCCGACTTCTTAGGTACTTACTCACCCCACCCCGCCCCTCTGTGTGCGTTGTGTGCGTGTAGAGAGAGAGAGATGCTATTAGTGTGACGTGGCCAATCTGTTGGCGATTCATTCAATGACGGACCCCTTTTTAAACATTGGTCAGTATCAACCTTGACTTGTTGATTTATGAGCTTGAGTGCCAAGAGAATATCGACTCATTCAAGGACCTCACCTAACAGCTTAAGCTTTTAGGTATCAGAGTCATTTTAATCGAGTGGTATAGTGTTCTATCCCAGTTATAATTAAATAAGTTTCAGCACAAGATATGGGTGGGCCTGTGCTTATTCACGTTTCAAGCTCAGTGGGGTTTTGTGTTAGAGGAGGCCTGTTAAAGAATATCAACCTTTACCTAACAGTTTAAGCTTTTAGGTTGAATGGTTCTTTGAGATTGAGTCTCATTGAGTTTATTTAATTTTTTTTTTCAGCTGAAGAATCTGGAGTGAAGGAGCTTTTGCCACCTTATCTCGACCCCGACTTACAAACTCAAGATCTTATTACTGGCGTAAACTTTGCTTCGGGTGGTGCTGGATATGATCCTCTCACATCTCAAATAGAGGTACAAATCAATTAATCCTCTCTTATTTTTGTATTTTTTTCGTCATCTACTGATATTTTCAAAGTTATTCTGTCAAATTTACGCGCTCTCTCTCTCACACACTTACACACACAGACGGCCATATCATTATCGAAACAGTTGAAATTGTTCAAGGAATATATGGGAAAATTAAAGGAAGCAGTGGGAGAGGAGAGAACAGCAACCATACTGTCCGAGAGCATATACATTATGTGTGTAGGGAGCAACGACGTTACCATTAACTACTTTTTTGCACCATTCCGGAGACCAAATTATGATGTCTCTGCCTTCACCGATCTCTTGCTTCAATTTGCTTCTACTTTCCTACAGGTATTTCTAGCTAATTTCTATTCTTCTTCTTTTTTTCTT